TTATAAGCTAGTTAGTATAATACAGTCAGGGCCATAATTATAATGTCATGTTTTTGTTGTATCCATTAAATTAAAGCTGAAAGACTACAATCAACCACTTATTAACTGCCTCATTTCAAACCCATTTGAGTCGTGTACAGAGGCAAAAATGTTTAATTGCGTCACAGTCCAAATACTTTTGGCCCCGACTGTAAATTCTTTGCTGATGTGAGTTTTGTTGTTTCGATCTGCCTTTCACTCCTCAGAAAATACTCAATGCAGCTGTATTTACAGCGTCTCACCTGTATCCTTGGAGGCCCCCCAGGGGCCTTTGATAGTGGCAGGGCTTTTTCTGTTGCAAGTGGAGCGAATACCAAGCTGCCCGTTACCAGCAAGCCCAAACGAGTCCATCTTTCCACAGGAGGGTGTGAACGCCAGGGTGTGCTGCCTTTTAATTGCACAGTGATTTGAAAAATGTTTAGTTCTTTTATGTCATTTCAATGAAATTCAATTATACCCATTTTCCTTTCACACTAATTACTCAATATTACAGTATGTACATTGATGTCAATACACAAAAGTATATGAATTCCATGTTTAAAATAAAATGGGTAAAAATATACATCATCAATTTTACCTTCCACATGAAATCTGCGTGACTACATTTCCCATGAGCTCAAACACTTTCCTGGGGTTGATTTCGTGGTTTGTGGAGTTGTGTCCAAGTTGTCCGTATCCTCCTGCTCCAAATGTGAACACACCTCCTTCCTGTAAAAACCATAAACAATTTGTTCCTGTTCCTACCGAGAACAAGAGTACGGCAAGGCCAAAATGTTCACAGACAGCACAACACATACCACTGCAGGTTTATCAAATCACCAAAAATGCTATAACTTAACTTGGTGAGTGCTGCTGTGTGATCTTCTCCACAGGAGATGTAAATCACTCTCTGTGATCTAAGGGACTTCAGCAGGGCTGGGAAAAAACGATCTGAAACAGACCTTCTGACAGTTAGTCTGACTTGAGGGCTTGAATGCTCATAAGTAGTAGTAGGAGTAGTAGTAGTTTAGGGTTTTGACCACCCACCATTGCAGTCATTGAGACCCAGCTGACCAAACTTGTTGCGCCCCCAACCGAACACTGCTCCTGAGAGAGTGAGAGCAAAGCTGTGAGCACCACCTGCTGATATCTGAGCAAAAGGAATGCCCTGCAGAGACTGAATCATCTGGGGCGCGGAAATGCTCTGTCCATTCATTCCTAGCCCAAGTTGTCCGTATCGATTCTGGCCCCAGGAGAAGACTTGGCCCCCTATGACAAGAAATAAACACAACATAGAATGTCTAAATATGTTAGAAAATAAAATAAGCTGAATGAATAAATGTGCATTTTGTGGGTACAAACCATCCTCACCTCTTGAAAGTGCATGGGAATGCCAATACCCACAGGCTACCTGAGCAATTTGTACATCTGACAAACTCTTGATATTTCTGGGGGAAAAAATAGCATTGCGTGTTTTTCTATTTTTTTTTTT